CTTCAGTGGGTAACCAGTCTTGGGCTGCAGGGTGATATGGCTGCCGGCATTGTTGCCACATTGTTTCTCTCTTATAACCTCATTATTTCTCACTGATAACCTAACTGAAGCAGCACATGCCCTTGATACAAATTCTAAAAGTGATGCTAAAACTAAAACTCTAACTCTAAAACTGTCAACTTGAGCTTTGAATCCGTGGCGGAAGGAAGTAGTTCCACACAAAAGAGGGTTTTATTAGGCACTCCGTTGTTTCTTGTTTAATTACACACGTTCCGTCGAACTGTTGAATAAACGCAATATCACTCTCGTACTCGAGTGATATTGCTCATATATAACCTACACAAAACCCTCCCTAAACCTAACCAATAGTGTTCACAAAAGCAAACATTCGATAAAAAAACACATTTGCTAAAGTCACCATGCAATGTTAGCTTGCTTCTCTAAGTCTTTGAACACTTTTTCATGACTCACGAGACTCACAACCGAGTACTCATCACAAGTGCAATGCTGTAGCAGGTGCACTACCAAGCAAGTTTACATTTGAGCCTGGTTATGTAATGGAAACATCAAAATGCATATAGTTTACAAATCATGCACTATGGTAAAAGTTATTTGAGGTTATTAAATAGTGTTGTGAAAGGAGCCACAAATGTACACTTTATTAGTTGATTTTCTGCCCCCTAATCATAATTTGAGTGAAAATAAATAAACGTTGTTGCTATTTTACTGCCTCAATTGTTCATTTCAGATGGAAAATACAGTGAATTGTATGTATAGGTATGTTTTTTTGGAGTTTTGCAAACATGTTGGTACAAACATGTTTTACTAAGGAGCCTAAGGGTGCTTTCACACCTGGGCTGTTGTTTCGGAACCTGGCGCGTTTCCCCCCTTAGCTCGGTTCATTTGGGCATATGTGAACACGGCAATCGCACTCAGATCCGTGCCAAAACAATTGGTCTGAGATCGCCTGAATGAGGTGGTCTCGCCTCGATTGAAAACGAACTCTGGAGCGGTTCGGTTGTAGTGAGAAAGCAATCCGATCCAACGGGCCAACGAACCAGGCTATATCACAATTTATGATGGGTAATTACGTAAGTTCCATGAAAAGCATTAGCTTTGTTGTTTTGCTAATACCTCAAAATGAACCTGTGATTAACTGTGGGTGAGCATGTCTTTGCCATTCAAAAATCAAAGCGCACTTTTTTATTTTATAATGCCGTCTTATTGCTCTTCTTTGTAGTAGGTGCATTTTAAAAATGTTTTCCCGATCAATCCTGGACTCCTGCTCAAAATGATAAATTATTATAATGACAGCTACAAAAAAACAACAACAATAAGCCTGCGATCCTGACGGGTGACATGCGTGACAGCTAAGTGGAATCCCAGAAAATAAACCGTGGAACTTTGACCAATGAGAGAACAGTTTACTCACGCGTGACTTTTGGTTCATTTAGAAACTTTGCCATGTGAAAGCGAACCGCACCAAGAATAAAAAGCAACACTGTAATAATTTGAATCCCTGTTTCGGAACAAAGTAATCGATCTACAGGTGTGAAAGCACCCTAAGTTTAGCAACTTGTTTTACTAAGTTGCTAAAAATATCATGTGGTATAACCATCAAGAAAAAAAGTAATGACATATTTTCCTTAAATTTTTGCTGCATGTGAACGTTCACATCAAAATTATAAAAAATAAATAAATAAAGTATATATATATATATATGTGTGTGTGTGTGTGTGTTATAAATTAATATTTAAATAAGCACTTGCAGTTACACAACCTGGCATTTTACAACCAGAACTATATTTAAAGTTTTAAAATATAGTTTTAAATGTAAGCATTAAATAATAATATCAATACATATAATACAAGTTTCTTTAATATCAGGTTTGGGGAGTTGCACCACATGACATTTACTAACCTTAAAGGGTTAGTTCACCCAAAAATGAAAATTAGCCCATAAATTACTCACCCTCAAGTCATCCTAGGTGTATATGACTTTCTTCTTTCAGACAAATCCAGTCGGAGTTATATTAAAAATGGTCTTTGATCTTTCAAGCTGTTTCATGGCACTCAGCGGGTGTTGCATGCATCAGTCCAAAAGCACTTAATTAAAATGCGCCCATCCATTAAAAAAAAGTGTGGCTCCGGGGGGTGAACATAGGCCTTCTGTAGCGAATCAATGCGTTTTTGTAAGAAAAATATCCATATTCAAAACATAATAATCACTTTAATGTAGCTTGCGCTCACTGTTGTACACTGGAAGTAGCTCCGGGCGGATGACGTATGAGGTCAGCTTTGCTCATGCGCCGCTCAGAAGTGACGCACGCGGAAACGCAGCGGAGAGATCAAAACAAAACAACGATCACTAATTAGAAGTACAAAACGAGGATTTGTAAAGAAGAATGTCGGAGGATTTCGATATAAGCCAAGAGGAGACTGGTTTTGCTTTGCTAAAGTAAGGAAACTTTGCTTCCTTTGCTCCTGTTAACAAACGTTGGTTTTCACAAGACTCACCAGCGCATGCGCAGCACTGACCTCATACTTCATCCGCCCGGAACTGCTTCCAGTGTACAACAGTGAGCGCAAGCTAGATTAAAGTGATTATTATGTTTTGAATATAGATATTTTTCTTACAAAAACGCATCGATTCGCTACAGAAGGCCTTTGTTCACCCCACGGAGCTGTGTGAGACACTTTTTTTAATGGATGGGCTCATTTTAATTAAGTGCTTTTGGACTGATGCATGC